ATCATAAACAACAACAATAAGGTGGGTGCGAATGTACAGTGGCGTCCCAAATTGACAGTTTCCAAAAATATGCATATTCGTGAGAAAAGTGTTATGTTGTAATGAAAAATATATTTGCTTTAGTATAATTACATTTCCCTTCTCAAACTGTAGTTAAGTTGTGGAATGAGATTGACAATAAAACTTTTTGGTCGTAATATCAGAGCTAAACTTTTATTTATTATTTGCAACTTTTATGAATAAAATCTGTGATTATTAAGAAAGCAAATTAATTTAAGAGTTTTTTCTAAAGGAAACAATTGTTTTCACATTTATATATAACAATAATTGAAACCACAGATCTTTTTTAATAAAACATTTTTTAAGGAATGAAGTTTTCTCGTTTTTAAATAACGGGATATCATTGTCTTCACAGGCATTGTTGCATTCCACAACTACTGTGCCTCGCATAGAATGTGTTCAAACTTCAAGCTCGAACTCTTCACATTAAAATTTTAAATTAAATCTCAAAATTAATTTTTAAAAATAAATCAAAACCTTGAACTCAAAATTCCAAATTTAAAATTAAGGTTCGAAATTGCAAAAATCTATATCCAAATCAGTTTAGAATGTAGTTTTTTTTCAAAATCAAATTTGTAATTTATTATTCAAAATTCAGATTTTTAAATGTAAAATTTAGAAACTCTTTAGAAGAATAAAAATTAAATTTTAAGATCAAAATTAAAACTTTGATTGAAAATATTTTGGTTGAAATATTTACAATCGAACATTTTAATTTCAAAATTAAAATTTTATAACTTCGAACTCAAAATGCAGTATTGCAAATCATAGTTGAGACACAAAAAACTAAAATACAGACGTCCGAGTAAGAGATCTTTCAAAATTAAATTTCAAAATTTAGATTTGAAAATGCAAAAATTAAAGTTCAAAGCTCAGTTTTCCAAACCAAATCAGAATAAAGAAATTCTTTATTTTTACTCAAGTTCAAAGCCCAACTTTACATTAAAATTTTAAATTCAAAATTTGAAATTAATTTCAAAAATCAAATTTAATTTAATTTAATTACAAATCCAATTTGAGATTTCAAACACAAAAAATTAAAATACAGACCGAGTAAGAGATCTTTCAAAATTAAAGTTCAAAATTTAATTTCAAACTTAATTTTTGAAAATGAACAAAATTAAAATTCAAGATTCAAATTTCCAGATCAAATAAAAGTATAAAAATTCCTTTAAAACTCAACTGAAATAAATTTTAAAATTCAAAACTTGTAGATCAAAATTTCAAATACAAAATTCAGATTTCCGTATAAAATTTCTTTTAAAATTAAAGTTCGAAATTCAAAGTGAAAACAAAAAATTCTAAATGCAAATTCAAATACTCTTTAAAAATTAAAAATACAATGTTTTGAAACACAAAGTTGGATTTCGATTTAAAAACTTAAAATTTCAAAATGCAAATTCAAAATTTTGAGCTACCAATGCAATATTTCAATTCCAAATTTCAGATTTCAAAATGTTAAAATCAAATTTTTAGATATACAAATCAAATAAAATTTTCAAAATTTATTTCAAAATTAAAGTACGAAATTTAAATTAAAAACTCAAAACTCACATTTAAAACGTTGGATTGAAAATGAGAAATTCAAGTTTTATTGTTATTTATAAGTTATTTTGGAATATACTATATTACTAAAAATGTTGTGGACCTTTTTAAATCTCTAATTTACATACCTATTTGTCACTGTGATAGATTAGTAAACTAAAAAATTTAAGAGATTGAGGGATATACTACTCTTTTTCAAAAGTTGACTTCTCAATCCAACCCATTTTCGATATACAATTCCATGGTTCCATAATGAAAAATAGTTTCACAAAAATAAGCGAATTTAAGAGACTTTGAAGAACAATTCTCTTAAGAAATACAATTAAAAAAAAAAAAAAAAAAATTTGAGTTAAAACATTATTAATTCCCCTAAAATCAATGTAGACTGTAGTCTTTAGTGGTCACTAACTAACTCAAAAGCAAAGAACTAGATACCAAACAAAGTAAGCAATAAACTTCATGGCATTGAAAGCGAGCTTTTGCATTTTATAGTTTCAATTTTGAAACTCTTGCTAAAGACGATCTTGTAGCAACTTGTTTTAAAGAAAAAAATAAAAATTTACATTCTTACATTTTTTTTTCAACAAAACTCTAATTGAGTTTGCATATTTAATCACTATGCACGTTTTTAATTTTCTGAAGCAATACAAGTCTCAAAATCACGAAAAGAGCAAACCGCCCAAAAACCACCACAAAACATGGTACAAAAGACTTAAGCACGAAACCCGCTCGAAACTTCAGCAAATGTGGAAAATTGCGCTGGGAAAATGGATGCGCAAGCGCTGCCCGCAACGAAACTAAAAAGTAATTGAAAAAGAAAATAAAAACGCGATTTAAACTGAAAGAGTCGGCATGCTGTTGTAAACAATAAAAAATACATAAACAACAGCAATAACAACAAAACACGGCATGTTGAGGAGCAATGTGTGGAAGTTATCAGAGCAAAACGTCAATATATGCGCTGTTGTTTTTTCGCTCTGCCATTGCTTTTGTTTATAAGAAACGCTCGCTGTTTGCATTTATTGATATTGTTAGCATTTTATTTCGTGCGCTTTTTTGCTTTGGAGCGGGAGGTGGCATGCGCATTTAACTTTATGTAAGGAAAATGAATTGGCGCTATGCCGAAGACGCCACAAACAAATAAATAAACGAAACAGATAAGTAAAGCTTAGGCACTTAAGCTGTCTAACGGTGAATTGCAAAAGCTGCTCAGCTGATTTCGGAGTCAATATGAACAGGGGTGCTTAAATTGTGTTTGTGATTTGATTTTAGTTTTAAAATGGTTTTTGTCAGGCAAGAAATTGAGACTTATTTTCGAGTAAATAATTCATATAATTATTATATATTCATATTTCCTTAGTTTTTTTCAGCTGTTAGGTTAAGTTATTACATTAAATAAAACAGCTTTTGTTTCCTCAATTTATTTAAAGCAGCCATTGAACCCAAAATTCGATTTTGAAACTAATTTAATAATATACCAATCATTAGAGTCCGAAAATATAAAATCGAAATTAAAAACTCAAAACCCAAAACTCGAAATTCCAAATTTCAAAATTTCCAAATTTCAAAACTCCATTTTTCGAATATCAAAAATCTTCAAGATTTAATCTGGTCCAATTGATAGTCAAACTTCAAAATTAAAAATTCGAATCTGAAAATTTAAATTTCAGACATTAAAATTCGAAATCAGAATTCGAATCTAAAAATTAAAAATTCGAAGTTCGGGTATTAAAATTAGAAATTTAATTAATAAAATTGAAATTTAAATCTAAAAATCAAATTTCAAATCCAAAATTTCAAAATTCGAAGTTGAGATAATAAAATCAGAAAATGACAAGTAAGGAAGGGCTAAGTTCGGTTGTCACCGAACATTTTATACTCTCGCATGATAAAGTGATAATCG